TTTGGGGAGAAGACTGTTGCTGTATTACAGATGAATATTTCATTTCCCGGGGAACCTGGCTAACCCTGTGGCCTGGCCCCCCACTCTGGGCATTTGCTGTTTCTCTGCCCTCTTTCGGCTGCTTTGAGTTGCTAAAAGCCAGTGTTTTGCCCTGGGAGATTTCTGCATAGCATTCAGGGAACCAGTGGGCGGGTGATGTCACAGTGCGTTGCTGCGGTAATGGCGGTGATGTTGGTAGGACACAGTGATGATGCGCTTTTGCAACAAAGCGATGAAGGAAGAGAGGAACCAGCTCCGGATTGGTCCTGGAGACCCACAAACTCCTCCCCTTTTCCTTAAAGCTGACTTTCGTCCTGGCTGAAGGTGGTGGATTGCCAGCCCTGGCGACTGAGTCCCGTTGTTTGTCCCCAACCCAGGCAGCAGCAGGGCGAGGTTCACACCCCCCCCCCACCTCCCAGGAATCTACCTTGGCTCTGCCCTGGAAGGGCCTTTTCTGGGGTGAAAGGGGCAACGGGGGACTCCCTCACCCATTCTGTTCTTGGCCTCTTAGCTGCTTCTGCCAGAGAGGGGGCCAGCCACTTCCATCCCAGAGTCCCCATCAGCCCCCCTCCTTCATCCCATTAAGGGCTCCCTTCCTGGCCAAGGCATCCCATGTGAATGGGCTCCCTGCAGTTCTCCCTGTCCGCACTCCCCACCATGAACCCCGACAGGCCACAGCCTCCCTTCTCGTCAGCTGAGTGTGACTCATTTCCATTCCCATCAGCACCTGCTGCCCCTCCCCGCCCATCTCCCCATCAGCCAGAGTCCCACCTGGGTAATGTAAGATCCTCTCTCCTCTTAAGGGACTGAGCACCGTATCTGCAGTGCCTACAGCCCTGCCACCCCAGGGAGCCTGTGAAAGCAACAGCCCATAGACACCTTGGGGCTGAAAACCCTGCTCCAGGACCCACTATCCCATTTACGTGAAGACACCTACCACTTTCCTGGCGCTAAAAAGCCCATCGGCGCTGGCAGGCGTTTAATGCGGCTCTGTCACCGTGCAGAGCAAAGGCTGCTGTGACGGTGCAGGTCCCCGGGGCCATGCAGTCATGCTGCTCTTACCGCTCGTGGGCTGCTGCTCGGTGCTTGTGCATATTGTCACTCAGCAGAAAAGGGGCCAGCGGCTTCTGGGTCACTTACACTCCAGGGCCGAGTTCCTAGTGATCTAAGGCACCTCCGTTTTGGGGGCCCATGGGGCCTGGCGCACGACAAAGAGGTCTGATCCTCAGAGAGCGCTGAGCATCTGCCCTTGGGAAATCAAGCCCCGCTAAGCAGTTTCACTGGCGATACATGAATGCGTAGGCCGCGGCTCCTCGCTTATCACTGGCTGCAGCAGATGGCCCCTTTGGTGTCTTGAGTCTCTCCATCCCCTCTACCAGGGAGCTGCCCTGCAGAGAGCTTGGCCTTGCTTCTTAGCGTCATGTCATAACAAATGTCACACAGATAGGAGCAGACACAAAATGATTGCCCCAAATACCTGCTCTGAGCTGCCGTGGCTGTGCCAGCCGGAGACATTGTCAACCCCCTGATTTAGTCCTTGTGCCAACAGAGCTTCCCCCCGGGCCTAGCCTCCTGCCTGTTGTCATGGAGCCACAAGATCTGTGCTATCCCCAGCTTTTAAACAGTCCCTTGGAGGAGCCCCAGCTGTGGAGCAGACCCCCAAGGGGTCCCACTCTTCCTTCAGGGTAGGCCTCATGGCCTCACCATCTCAGACTGAGCCGCCTCCTGCTTCACCCCATGAGCTCTGACCCACAAGCCCAAGTGAGACAGGCCCCCAGGCAGAGATTGTTACACTCTTTGGGCACCTCAACAAGTGTCTGTAGTGGCAACAGGCAGCGGCTTCAAAACGCAGGAGGGTTTATGAGTCAGCTGGAAGGCAGCACTGGAAGTGTAGGTTAGCACAGAGAAATACAGGTGAGGACAGAGTCCAGCTGGCCAAACCAGAGCAACCCGCCAGCCACGCTGCAGGAGACTCTAATGCAGGCTCCGTCCCGTTGTCAGACCAAGGTGAGAGCAGTCGAGCCTCTTCCAAAAGCCCACTCTGATGCCGGTGCCCTGACACCTCCCAGTCTGGCATCCGCTCACCTTCCCTCCTGAGAGGTGGGGAAACCTCCTTCCTCTCGGTCCTTGGTTGCTAGGCAGCAGTGTTCTGCCCCTCGTGGTTTTCGGTGTCTTCTCGGGTTTTCCATTGCTCTGGGTGGGCCTCCGCCAGTGCTGCAATGACCCATTCGGACCTCCCCAGACAATTAGTGACACCCCCACCCCATGTCCCTTGCACTTCCCCACAAGCAAATTCAGGCCAGGTCTACGCTCAAGTTATTGCTCCGGGGTGTGAAAAATCCCGACCGCTGAGCCACGGAGCGGTACTGACCTAACCCCCCGGGTGGCCAGCACTGTGTCAGTAGGAGGGCTTCTCCTGTCGCCATAGCAACCGCCTCTCGGGGGGGGGGGGCGTGCCTTAGCTACCCGGACAGGAGAGCTCTCTCCTGCCGGCATAGGAGCTTCTTCACCTAGCCACTGCAGTGTTTGCCCCGTGACACACACACAGGATTCATAAAAAGTAGTACCAAAAAATTCCCATTTTGTCGCACCTGTCTCCCACTGCTTGTCACAAACGCCTCTTCTTCTTCGGCTGTCCCTCAATGCGAGGATGGAGTCTGCCAAGGGGGTTCATTGCTGGGTTTTTAAGTGGCTGAGGAGCTCAATTCGTGCCCTGCAGATTTTCCCACAGAAGTGACAGGTGTAATCTTGGAGGAGACATAGTTGGTGGCTGGAGCGTTGTGCCCTTTCTTTCCTCCTCTGTTGCGTCTCGGTCTCATGAGCACGTCTGTTCTCCTCAAAGTGAGCTGTGGCTTGGGGTCTGGTGTGGGTCCACCATGTTCTGTTCTGCGCCGAGTCCTCCCAGAGGGTTGGGCTGATGCTTCCCTTCGTCAGATGTACTTTCTGTACGTCTTTGAAACTCTTCCGCTGCCCTCCGCGAGCCCTTCTTCCCTGACTTAATGGAGAGAAGAGCACTTGCTTCGGGAGGCATACGTACACAGCGGCCAGCCCAGCGGAGTTGGTGTTTCATGACCTGCGCTTCTGTACTGCTGATGTTGGCTGCAGAGAGAACGCGGATGTTAGTGCGTCGGTCTCCCCAGCTGATCCTGAGAATCCTCCTGAGGCAACGCTGCTGGAACCCCTCCAGCCTCTTGAGATGTCCTCCAAAGGTTACCCAGGTCTCACACCCACAGAGAAGGGTGGGCATGACAACTGCCTTGTAAACCAGGATCTTGGTGCCTGTTTGTAGATCCCTATCAGTGAAGACTCGTCTTCCTGTCACAAACACTGAAAAGCCCTAAGGAAATTCACAGACTAAAATCTGCATGAAGTTGGCATTAGAGTTGGAAGGACCCATCAGTGACATACAGGGGGTTGTTTTTATTTTTTAAAAAGCAACAACATTCTTGTTATTTTTTTAAACTAACAAGAATGTTATTATTTCAAAAATGATGTTTAGAAAGCCAGGAAAGTCAGAGTTAATATTAAATGTCAAAGAAACCCAAGCATTTGAGAGTTTGTAAATACATGGTTAAAGCGCCCAAACGGATTTAACTCTGCCCTAGGGAGAACCAGAAATGGGGTGAAACCCAAGGCCATCACTAAAGATTGTTTCTCTTCATCACTGAGAGAAAAGCCAGGCTGCTTTCTGCTCAACCATAGCATGGTTGTGGTGGCTTTTTACCAATCCCTGCTCAGCCGTGTCACCTCCTGACAGCCATCCTTCCTTACACATCAGTCAGGTCCCCAGTGCCACCAGTTAGACAATTGTAATTGGACACAGAACTAGTAATAACAGCAAATGCAATTCTCCTAGGTCCAGGCCATTAAATTAGAGAATTTAACCAGAGAAGAGCAAAGTCTGTGCAGTGATCCAGCATCATTCCTAGTGCTCGCCATGGGGGATATTTGGGCCAGGGCAGGGAGATCCCCAGTTGCAATGGGAGACAGTGGGACTTACAGCCAGGCAGCTTACCTAGCTTGAAACTGGTGAAGCAAACCCAGTGCCAAGCTCCCAGTGCTGGGCACCCTTCGTAGAGTCTGGAAACGCTCTAAGAGCTGGGGGGGTGCCCCTTCTCAGTGCCCCGCCCACAAGCTGTGCAATGCTGCAGCTCTTGTAACATGCAGGGCATGGCTCGGTCCCGGAGAAAGTGGAGGGTGAACAGAGGTGAGGTTGGCAGCGGTGCCATCCCTGCAAGAGCAGCCACCCTGCCACGGTGAGGATGCGCTGCCCCTTCTTCAAGGCCTCGGAGAAAGCCCTTGGTCCAGAACTTACCCGGTCTTCCAAGGAGTCTGAAAGGGAGCAATGCGGGGCGGGGCGGGGCCGAGCGGGGAGGGCAGCCATCTGAACACAGCCGCTCCAGACTTCAAAGGCTCTGCTTCCTTCGGAATGGAATCTGAACTCCAGCGTTCTCCACTTCCTGCTATTTTGTAGACCTGCCGGGCTCTAGGCTTTAACTCCGGCTTAGCAGAGTGCTCTGGGCTGGGGACTTTCCCTCAGAGAGAAGGAGAGAGAGTGGGGTGGGGGCGGGGGCTCCTGGCAGTAGATCCCTAACATAGGGAAAGCCAAGTTCCCATCTCTAGGAAGGCACGGATATGGACCTAGGAGAAGGAGGGGGCTCAACATAAACTGCGGGGGGGTGTCCACCAAAAGTCGGGGCCCTGTGCCTGGTAGGGTGGCTGAGGCAGAGAGGCTGGAGGGGGGCGGCTTTGGGAAATAACGAGATGCCATCCTGAGGGAGACAGCACGAATTGGGAGCCACATGTGCTCTGCAGCCTGCTGCTGTACCTGGGGCCGCTTTGCACACAGTGTGAATTACACTCCTGCCGTGGTGTGGGGCTGACGGATCCGTCCCAGAGATGGAGGGTCGGGAGAAGCTGCTCAGCTCCCCTACTCTGGCCTCCTCTTCTCTCCTCTCTAGGGCACAGGCTGCCCCTGACATGCTCTGCCCCAGCGAGGAGCCATCGTGTTAGTGCCCCGAAGACAAACGGACGCCTGGCTGGAGAGACACGGAAAGGTAGGCACGGCAGCTGCCCCAGTCCCCTGTGTGCTCCCCTGCACCGCATGCAACTCTCCGGCCTGTCGCTGGCAACTTGCTCGCGCTCCCTCGGGCTCGGGGGAACCAGCCAGCTCCTGAGCCATCCTTCTCCCTGCAAACATTGTTCCCAGTAATGAACCAACAAGCACAAATGCCAGGAAGCGAGGTGCAGTCGTCTGCCAGGGCGAGCGCAGTGCCCCAGGGGCTGGCGGGAACCGCAGAGCTCAGCAAGAAAACAACAAAGCAGGCGTCCCGGCCAAAATCAGTGCTCGGCCTCTGGGCCCCTAGGAATCCTGGGCTTCCTTCTCCTCTCCTGGTGATGGAACCTCACCCCAGAATTAGAGTGTTTTCTATTCGCGCAGCACGAGGGCTGGTCTGAAAGGCGGGGGTTCCCCTGGACATTTTTGACTGTTTATTGAAAACCCCCAAACTGAAATATTTGGGGCCCAAAACTGCTGAAAACCAAAAACGAAACAAAACTAAAGGGGGGAAGGGCAGTTTTCTGACATAGTCAGTGATTTTCAAGGGAAGTGAAACTGAGAGCTGCAGAGGAAGGTCTAAGAACCCACCCCAGCAGAGGGGGATAACCTGCCCTCATTCAGGTCTCCAAGAGTTGAAGAATGACACCCCCTGAAGCAGGTGATCTAATCACCCTACCAGGATGCTTGTTGTTCTGCATTGTGATACCCATAGAAACGGCCAGTCCCTTTTGGGATCTTGTTAAGTTCTTGGCCTCCAGTGAGCTCGGCATTTACCTGCCTGCCTTCCCCTTCCCTTGTACGTGGGTCTCCCTTTCTCCATCTAGGTATGGTACTGTGCCCATCATTGTCGTATCTGACCATCCCTCCCATGGTCCTGCTACTGTCTTTGCAAACTGTGCCATTCCTCCCACACCATTCTGCTCCCGCGGCCCCCATGTACCTGGTATTTAGCAGGCCCCATTCCCCGAGTATCTGAGAGCACAACCCTTTGTGTATTTCTCCTGGCACCCCCCAAGGGTCCGGCCTTGCTATCATCCCCATTTCCACAGAAGTCGAGAAAGACTAAGGGCTGGATGTTTGGTTCCTAACGTCAGCTTAGGCTCCTAACTTCCACTGATTCCCATAGCAGTTAGGCTCCGGGCCGCAAGCTAGCACGCTGAGCATTGGGCCAGCCTTCCTTGCCGTGCAGCTGGCAGCCTGGGGCCAGTCCTCCTGGCAGACTTGCCATGCCTTGTCATGTGGCGGAAGCCATCCTGAGGGGGCTCTGTGCTACCTGCACTGCCCGTGGGGGAAAACACTGGCAGGACATGGCTTCTGGTGGCATCAAAACCAAAGTGTGTCCCAACCCAAAGCTCAGCTCCCAGCGTTCAGCTCAGACGGTCACTCAGATTCAGGGACAGTTCTCTGACAGAGCAGGGGGGTTGGCCCGGGATAAGACAAGAAGGGCCTGGCAGTGACCATTCCTGGCTCTGCTGGCAATTTGCCATATGATCCCCAGCAAGTCACTGCCCGTCTTTCTGCACCTCCATTTCGTTACCTGTAAAACAGGGACAATTGCAGCAGCCCTGCGAGGTTCCCCCAAGGGTGAGGTGGAAGCTGGCCAGGGCATGTGGCGGCCCCATTACCATTTGGGTGCCCACTGGCAAAGAAAATCGAGCAGAAACCGTGCATCCGCCTCCCAGCAGGACAGTCTCCGCCTGAGTTATGAGTAGTGTTTGCAAAGTGAGCGAGGTCAACCGGGCACTTTATCCCCATCCATACCCGAGGAGCCTTCTGGACTGTTGCTTTCCCACAGATCTCAAAGCCTTGCTGTTGATGTCGGTGGGTGTTTGAAGCATCTCAGAGCTGTTCTGGGGACCGGAGGGGTAGGACGGGGGGTGGGAGAGGAGCTCTGCAGTGCGAGGTCTCCAGAGAAACCCTTTGTCTGATGCAGAGCGATAACTAAGTGGCTCCTGGTATTCTGCTCACAGCTCCTTCTCTGACTCCCCTGCAAGGCTTTGTGCATGTGTGCGCCTGCCATAAATATTGATGGGCTGGCCGAGGGGTAAGTGTGCATTTATATACCACATTAGGTAGGTAAATGCCATAAGAACCTGCTGTGTGGGTAGAATCATAGAATATCAGGGCTGGAAGGGACCTCAGGAGGTCATCTAGTCCAACCCCCCGCTCAAAGCAGGACCAATCCCCAATTAATAGGAGGTAGAATCTCCTTCCTTAGAAGTTTTTAAGGTCAGGCTTGACAAAGCCCTGGCTGGGATGATTTAATTGGGGTAAGGCCAGGAGAAGCCATGGCATTGGTGCTAGCATCGGGGCTGAAAGCGTTACGGCTCTTTAATGGAAAACGTGGGGGGAGGAATAAGGAAAGAACCTAGAAGAAATCTGCAAAGTCAGAAACCCGTTAAGAGAATCATCCGTACCTGCAGCAATTCCAGATACACAGCCTGAGCTTAGCAGGGACTTTCAGAGATAAATATCTGCTCAGAGAACCCACTTCCTGTGCAGCAAAGCCCAGGCAGGAAAAACACAGAGGGGCTGCAGTATATCTGTTTAATAATGCATGGCACAGACAGGCAAGGCGCATGCTGCTCTGTAAAAACCATGAGGATGAGAAGTCTCCCCTCCAATAGAGTCCAGCCTGCATGCAGATATTCCCAGGGCAGTGCACGGCCATGGATATCACAGGACAATCTAGGTGTGTGTGCCAGTCAAACCCAGGTAACTTCCTAGGGTCGGCACCAACATGGCTGATTCCCCTGGAGCAGTGTGCAGAGGTCCCTGGTGACACTCGCCTTTACCCCGCAAGGAAGGAGTTTGCAAAAGGGTGATGCCAGGCAGGCAGAAATCTCTCATTTCTATGGTGTGGGGACAGCCCAGAGCATATGCGGCAAATCTGAGGGAATCAATTACACAGCAATTACAGGTGACACAGTAATGGCAGGGTTTGCTTCACTGAGCACCATGGAACCTGCCCGTGGGTTTCAAGGAGAAAAAGTATTAGTAATAGGGAGTATTAATGAGAATAACGATTCTTAATTCCGCATGTGCATGACAGCAGCAGTCAGGGACTCCAGTCAGGGTCAGAGCTGTACGGTGCTGGGTTCTGGGCAAAGGCAAATAGAGACACGGGCTCTGCCCCACTGAGCTTACAGTCTAAGGATAACACCAGTACCTTCCACCTGGGGTCAGTGACACTATTGCGGTAGTGTCCAGCAGCCCCAGTCAGGGAGCAGGGTCCCTCGGCGCCAGGCACTGCACATCCACAGACCCAGGAGCCCCTACCTCAAAGAGCTTCCACCTAAGGATCAAAGGTCGATCTAGCGGATTGGAGGAGCGGAAGGGAATAGTGAGACAATGAGCAGCAGCAGGCACAGTGCACCAGCTGCCAAGCCACTGACTTTGGTTTGCAGGCATCACAACAGAAGAGCGTGTGATAGGGTTGCCAACCCTCCAGGATTGGCCTGGAGGCTCAATTAAAGATTATGTCATGTGACGAAATCTCCAGGAATACATCCAATCAAAATTGGCAACCCTAGTGTGCGATTGCCCATGGCCGGGTATTATTGTATACATGGGGAATCAAAGGCATAGAGGTCATGTGACTCACGCCAGGTAGCAGGCTTGTGAGGGACAGCTGGGAATAGAACCCAGGAGTCCTGACTTCCACTTCTCTGTTCTAATGGCATCATGGGACAAAACCTAGATCTAAAAAGCAAATGAGTGTTTGTGTCTGATCAGCCTTTCAGGGCCTCACTGCAGATAGATGGTGTCGCTGGTGACCCCAGCCACCGAGTATCCCAGGGGGCAAAGCAGCTTCCTCCTGGCTGCTATCAGTGTTGCAACCTGAGAAATCGTATTCAGGGGAGCAGAACTGAGTGGCCCTGAGAAGGGGAGTGAAATATGGACCCCTCCAGTGGCTGTAAATCTACACCCCATGCCTGGGATTCCCTGAAGATGTTTGGTGCTTCCTGCTTCCAGTCGGGCTGTGAATCCCCGAAGGGCAGGCCCAGGTACATCAGACCTTCTGACGATCCTGACATCACACAGTGAAGGGAGGAAACCTGCCCCCAAACATTGCACGGATTCAGACTCCAGGCCAGAAGGGAGCAGCCTGAGCATCTAGCCCCACCTCCTGCATAGCTCAGGCCGGAGACCCTGCCCCAGGGGTGCCGAACCCTCTGCTTTAGCATCAGTTCAGAAAATGGGCCAGCAGCAGCAGGGTGGCAAGGTTCTCCCAAAAGAAAGGACCTGCACGCCCATTTTGGCTGCTGCAGGATTGTCCGAATCGCCCAGGTTTACAGACAGACTCTGGAGCTGAAGAAGTATGTCGTGTATTCACTGCTTCAGTGAGCGATCAGTTCCCTGAAACAGGGCCCAGCACAGGGTTAAACGCAAGTGCACCCCCTCGTTCAGGTGCTGCCTTAACTACATTGTTACAAAGCGATTCATTATTTATCTTGTCTAAACACTTTCCTGGCTAGCACTGAGATTCGTTTGCTAACCCAGTTGTTTACCTGATTGGACGGTTGACCAGGTTGTTCACCTGATCAGGTCGCTGGCTCAGCTTTTCACCTGGCTGTTCGCTTGCCTTGCCAGACAAATCAGGCATCTTTTCACGTGTCCCAAAACCTGAAACACTGTACACAGTCGACAGCCCAGGGTGGCCGAGTCTGACTGATGGCCTCTGTGGGTGTCCGACATGCCCAGCACTGTGTGCAAACAAAACTCGGCTCTGGCTCCGGCTGGGGTGTCACTCCACAAAATCTCTATTAGAGTCAATTACGTTGCTGCTGCTGCCAGGTCTCTGTCTCTCGCTGACAAATCACCGGCTCAGATTGGAACAGAGCAGCTGGGTGATTCTTTATGACCCCTGTCATAAATATAAAGGGAAGGCTAACCAGCTTGCCCTGCCTCTCTGGCGGTCTGGGACTGCTCGTATCGATCAGCATAAGAAGCAAGACTTTCTGCTGAGTCCATTTCCTTATCCCATAAACACTGTTT